CTCCCGGATTCATGTGATTTCATGAGAATCTTAGAATTCACTTAAAAACAAATTTCCCATCCCTTACTGTTGGGAAGCAAAACTTCAAAACTTCCGAGTGTACCCTCAAGGATAAGAAACTAGAAGAAAAATAAGAACCCAAAATATATTATTTAACCAAAAAAAACCCACTTCATTTTAAAGCCTGCCTGAATTTTGGGGACTGACAACATTGGGTTTGTTTTTTTTAAAATAGCGTGCACAAAATAAAATTTGTCATACAATACAAAGAAAAAACTTATCAGCAATACAGTTGAACTTCGGAGTATTTGACTTAGGTGGGCTAATGCGGTACCCTTCCAATATAGGGACGTCTATCCTTGCTTGCTTAAACAGCCTGGCACATCGCAGCATAATTTGCTATCTCTGCTCAAGAGGCCAAAGACTGAGTGAACGGGGGCGGCCACACGTGAGAACTACAACAGAATGGCAGAGACATGCAGAAAAGCTTGCAGCCCGCCTGCCTGCCAACAATAACCCTCTACCCAGTCCTGTCACATCCCTCACTTTCATGAAAACCCCAACATTAAAATATTACATAGTGCTACATTTTAATATTAGGTCACTGAAGGCATGAAACATTTTTAAAAATCTGGGACAGAAAAATCATCACATTGATTAGCTATCCAGCCTCTGAAATAGGACATTGTTCTTTTAATACAGAATAGTTTCAAAATTAAATATATGTGTTTTACAAATTATTTCCTATCCATGAGATCCAGCATGTATGCCTCCTCCCCACACACATATACTGAGCATGCCTGGCCAGTGTGTGCAGTTTACAGTCAGTGAAGAGGCACAGAACCCCTGTGCTAGGTCTCTCTCTCACTCTCTCAAAATGGCAGTTCTGAGAATCATTGCTACCAGAGCCCACTTATTTTGGTTTGTGCGAGTCCCAATAAATAACATTTATTAGTTAAAGAGCTGTCCACGGAGCTTAGCTGCTTTCTTCACTAGAACAGGATTTTACATGGACCTGTTCGATGTTGCTGTTCTGAGCCAAACTTCTCCACTTTTAATATGATACAGTAATAATTAATAAATACAAAGCATAAGTCCAGCAATACATATTTTAAAAGTGATGTAAGAACATAAATCTTCAGAGTCCAGCTCTGTAAAATACTGTCACTGACACAAATTTACAGCTATGTACAATATATTACATACAAACATATCCAGATACTTCAAAATGTTGGTTACCAGAGCATCTGAGCACCTCATACATTAGGCTTCAGTTCATGAGGGTGTTTTAAAACATGAGTAATCCCACTACTTAAATTTAAGCCAAGGCAGACCAATATTTGGGCAGAGGTAGTTGGTATCACCATATCACTTCCTCCTCATTGCCTCTACTCTGGTACCAGACCTGTGGCTAGGGCAACAAGGCCACCCTTTTCTATAGACAAAGAAAGATAAATTCATACATAAAAAGGTCAGTGGGCTTTGGATCTTGGGCTCAGTACAGACCCATGATAAACAGACAGTCAGACTAGATGTTCCTTTCTGACCTTAAACTTAAGAAACCCTAATGAAAGCACATTTGTAGCCTAAACTTTAACCTTTTACATATGAATGAGTAGAGTCCAACAACAGCTTTCTAGAAAAGCAAGAGGTTTCAATGCAGTATGACAATTTTATACTATGTCTCTGTGGTTTCCCTCATCACTTTATATACACATTTCCCTCAAAGACAAAACACTCCCACTCATTAAATCAAGACTGGCTCTTTCTCTGTTCTATAAAATGAAGATTGTAAGGTTGAAGAATCTGTCTTCTAGAAACGACCATATCTCAAGGTTTTTATTTCATAAAACGGAATGATTCCCAGAGATAGGAATTAAGACTACTGGTCATTCTCCCACGGCTCATCTTTCAAGGTGCTGATAAAATGTCCAAGACAATGTGAGCTCCTGATTATTCTAGGAAGTAAATCTGTACACACACCATTAGAGTCTGGAAAGGCAGATGCAGATGACAGTAATTCATACATCAAGGAATGGGCTTGTATATTTGGCAGATTAACTGTTCTGTATTCCATTGCTATGAGGTATGGGAAACTGTACTTTGAAACATCCATTACTCACTCCCTCTGCTTTAAACATGTAGTCCTATCAAAGGAAAGCCAGTTGGAGGGGAAAACCCTGAAAAGAGAAGCGCCAATGTACTTAAGATTAATGCTTCTCTTGAATGGCTTCTTTTATATAATTTTCCCTAACTTTCAAAATCAGCAAATACACTGGACCCAGAAGGCAAATGCATGGAAAGAAAAGCAAAAATGGCAAAATTCTCCAACTTATACATCAGGCTTTTGAGTCTGAACATCTGTATGAATTGTGTGGCCATTTTTCATTACACTCAATACGTGATTGTTCCCTGATTTGTTCAGTGATTTTTGGCTATGTTGTTTTGACTGTGCTTGATTTTTTTATATTGTTCTACAACAGAATGATTTTTGCAGTCAAATGACCTTTTGATTTGGTAGCTTATGTTGTTGGCTCCAGTGATGAACTCGCCAGTATAGATATGTGGTCAGAGTTGGCATTGTGTTTGGTTGCAGGGCTGGGTTCCTGGATGCTTATTATGTGGTTATGTGGCATGGTTACCTGAAATAATTCAGGTTGGGGGATTGTCTGTAAGCAAAAACAGGCTACTGAATTCATTACTGGAGCCAACAACATAAGCTACCAAATCAAAAGGTCATTTGACTGCACATCCAGTAATCTGATCTATGCCATCAAATGCTAGCAATGCCCCACTGCTATATATATTGGACAAACTGGACAGTGTCTGCAGGAACGAATCAATGGACGCAAATCAGATAAATGTAAAGGGAACATACAGAAACCTGTTGGGGAACACTTTAATCTTCCTAATCACTGTTTAAAAGATCTTCAAGTGGCTGTCACAAACCAATTCTACTAGAGAGATACACAAAAAAGCACTGGAATTAGAGTTCATACGCAAATTCAGTTATCACGCTAATGGACTCAATTGTGATGAAGGATGGTTGGGACACTAACAACCTAACATTCAATGAAGGTGCCAAGATTCCTGTCAGGAAGGATACTATCAATTGACTTTGATTCTTATCTGCTTCGTTTTAACTACCCAATCTTCAGATACTTACTGATTCCCCTCTACCTTCCTGATTTTCTATACCCTCTGCTCCCTGTCTCCCTCCACCCCCACCTTCTCTCCCATTTATTTTGGGTCTGCACATCCTAAACTCAAAACTCCAGTCATCTGAAGAAGTGGGCTGTGCTCAGTAATATTACAGACTGGTATGCCTACTGGACTGGCCATCTTATTTTTGTAAGCACCTCTGGCTCATCCTTACCATATCTGCCATGTCCATGCCATCAATTGTAAATAAGTCCATCTATTGTAAATTCATTGGTACTACTGATGCCATAAAGATCCTTCCTCTAAAATATGAACAAATGTGTCTCACTTTTTCCTTTCTGTAAACTATAGTGAAAACAAATGCTACTATATTCATATTTTCATTATTACATAGCATCTAATGCTATGATATAACAGAATAAAACAACCCCAAAAGACAGAAGATGAACTCCTTCCATTCTCTTCTTTCTCTCTCTCTGCACCCTTTTCCTTCCACATTTGTATTTTTCTGCTGCATCCTTTCCTTGTATTGCAGCTCATCATGATGTTGAAAAGGTTGGTGGAAACGGTAGAGCAATGATGAACAGAAGGCACCATCATGTCAGACTGCTTGGTGAGATAGACACTGCTCTCAATTTTAAAGCAGAAAGCACCTCATCTTGCGTATGCTGCCTAGTACAAGGTGTATACAATAACTCCCAGAGCCTAACTACATGCACCTGGTAGGAGACCATGCCTTGTTGGGACAATGGTTTTGTCAGGGTAGAATTTAAGTCTCTCTTCCCAACATACCCTTGTGTGGCTGCTGCTGCATGGGTTATAGGGCAAGAAACTTTATATGCCTCTTCTGCCAGTTACTGAGCATACCTTGTAACATTGGCAGGATTTTGCTCCTGCTCACTTTTTCCTCAAGTTTCTTTCCATATTTCTGCTCTTATATTTCACTTAGTTTGCTACTCTAAGATGCCACAACACTTTTCTAACCAGGACTACACGGAGAATGCTTTCTCTCCAGAAACCATTCTTTTTTAGACAAATTTAATTAGACATCAGTCCATAAAGATTCCACAATTCACTAGCTGTGGAACTCCAATTTTATCCTGAAGGGAAATGGACTCCACAGTAAGAACTTAACATTCTGGTAAAGTGAAAGTCCCACCCATGAAAATGACGGACCTTCAGACTGATCAACAATAAATAATGTTAGTCTTCAGAAATCTCGGTATGTGTACATATGTATCTATTTAGGCAAAGATGGAGAAACACACAAATACCACACTTCCACAGTGCACACTATTTCACTAAAAGAAACACAATATTTTTAAATATTAGCAAAGAAATTAAAAATGCAAAACTGCAAGCATAAGAGGAACCATTTTCATATCACTGTCACAATTTTATTATCAATGTTGTGCCACAGTGAATATTTTCTTCTTCCACTAATGTAGTCTGAGACTTTATAGAATAGAAAAATTAAACCAGGTTTTGCTTAGGAAAGTTTTCCCAGGGGTTTCTCATTTTTATATAGGAAATCAATTTGCATCACTGATGATATCATTCAAATCAGACAACGCTATGTGGTTAGAAGGTAATTTACTTTTCTACCGAAGCAATTTGATACTTGTTCTGATTTGCGATTCTCATTTTGTTTGTTAATGAAAAAAATTAATGAGCAATGTTACTGGAAAATACAACTCATAGCACTGGCATTATTAAATATGTTTGCAATATACTGTACATTATGTTGATTGCACAGTCGGAGCCCGAACCTTGGCGGTTGGAACACCAGTCAATCAGGCAAACAGACACCGAACTCATCGGGAGGACTCTGCACATACCTTTGCACTGATTTGTGTTTTTGTCAAGAATTGCCTTTGTGGATACAATTTTCCCATACCTAGAGAGAAAGAAAAAGAAAAAAAGAAAAAGAAAAAAAAGAAAAATGCATGTTATTATATTTTAACCCTAGATCTCTGCAGACTCAATGTTCCAATCAGTTTATTATACATAAGTACACACACACATACACGTGAGAGAGAGGGGAATTCACCTATAATAAAGTTACAAGATGGACAGTAAAGCTTCCCCTACATTCCCCAAAACTCTACCTTAAGAAGGATGTTCATTTTCCATTCCAATTCTGATTTCTACATTGAGATAGCCAAAAAATTACTTGTTATAGGAGGGTCCAGTGGAATACCCAGGTAGACAAAGATGTTTCTTTGTTGATATAAATTAAGTTTCTTTAAATGTATATTTGTGTTTTAAGCCATCAAAGGAAGTTTTGTTTTTTAATACGAATGGAGCAGACTCGTTCCTACCATTCCCCAAATGCCCTAAAAAGTTGGCAGACAAAAAATAGAAAACCAAGGGAAGAATTATTTTTCTTAAAAAGGTAACAAGCACATTGTAGATAGTGAAAGGTTTCTTTTTTTAATGGCTTTGTATCTTTAATCTTTTCTAGCTGAATATTGATGAGTGTTTACATAAATGGCACTATAACAAATAGCACAGCTTAAGAGTATCTCTACAAGGCTCATACACCTCAGAGGATTTTTTAATTTCATGGACCGGCCACAACTTGTTGCATTCACCAGTGAAACCACAAAGTGAGTGTCTCTCTTATCTCAAATGGAAGAGGACTGAAAATGAATATTTCATAGGCACTTTAGAAACAGCTGGCATAGTGCAACAACGAAAAAAATCACAGAGAGGATCACTTTTTGCAATCAAGTTTTGCAGACTCTGCTTCACTACACAGCTCCTCCTAGAACGTCTCCTTTTACTCTCTCCTGCCAAATTTAAAGATACAATAAGACTAGGGATGTAAAAATCTCATTTAATCAGTTAACCAATTAAATGTTATATTTAACCAGTTAAATGCTTAAATGGGAACGGGCAGGTGGCTGGAGCTCCCTACACCTGCAGCACTGTAGGATGCTCCAGCCAGGCTGGGCCTGCCACGCTGTGCCATGGGTAGTGAGCTGCTCTGGCCAGGCTGGGCCCACCGTGCCACACCATAAGTGGGCAGGGAGCTGCTCAAGCCCTGGTGGTCTGGATTGTCCCCTGCCTACGGGACAGCGAGCCCAGCCAGAGCAAGCCTCTGGCCAGGCCTTCGGTTGACCATAGCCATTAAGCATCACCTGGTGAGGGTGATGCTTACCAGTTAACATTCACATCTCTACAATACACATAGTCCAACAGATTGTGCTGTCATTTTGGAAGATGCACATGTAAGATATGACACACCATCATGAATTATGATACCACCACTAGATTTCATGAGGATAGGCATAACACGTTAGATATACAGACATTCAGTCAGTCAGTATTCTCTTTAGCAATAATAATTTTGGCCCTGATTCAAGAAAGCATTTAACCACGTGTGCCCCTAAAGTTGAACATGCTCTTATGTGCCTTGCTGAACACAGAAACATTCCAAAGCTGGAGCCCTATCTCCACCTCTCTTTCACTATTCTTTAGAGTGGTATTGCAGCTGACTTAGTCACAGCCCAAAATCAAACAACACACATCCTAAGAATATACAGTAGGACCTCAGAGTTAGGAACACCTGGGGAATACTTTTGAAAATTTACTGTGTGAAGGAAAAAAACTGCTTCCCCCTTTATTTTGTTTCACATTTTACATTTTTGAATACATTACTGCACTGTATTTTCTTTTTTAAATATTTTATTACTACTGGATTTGTGTACTTCTGGTCGACTGGCCAGATCATAACTCTGGTGTTCATATTTCTCAGATTCTACTATAATGCAAAATTCTCAGCAGGTGTGATTTGACATCATTTTATCAGTCAATTTACACCAGGAGAAAATTTGGCCCAAGCAGTGTGTTTTTATTTATTTACATTTAAAAACCAAATACATGCAAACTATGCAAATAAATAAATAAAATAATACCTATCTATATAGTCTTAAGAGTCTTCAGTAGATACTGAGAAAGAGAATCCAATTAAAATCAGCAGTTAACCCACAATAACCTCATATAAACTAAACCTCCAATTAAACTTTCTCCAAAAAAACCCTAAAACATCAGTCTTCATTAGGACTCTCTCATAACATTAAAAACTCAAAAGAAATAGATATGCTGTTCCATCCCACCCTGTGCGATTTAGAAGTCTATCCATAAAGTGATTTACTTGTGAGTGCAAGAACCCACAGCCTGAAATCTGAAGCTACTACTTAAATATGCTTTACCCTTTGTAATTTCTTGCCAACAGAAAAAGACATTTATGATTCCATTACGTTTACTGAAGACTTACCAAGGTTATTTGCTTTACACTACAATCCTGCAAGTGCCTAGTCACATAAGTCATTTCACCTGAAAAAGTAAGTCCTGTTCACCTACACATTTGCAGTTGGTGTCCACTGGAGTGGTACGTGGTACAAAAGAATGCTTTCTATTATGTGAATAGCCTTTCACACTAATACAGTATATAGATATAAACCCTGAATACAACCACAAGAAAGTAATTAATTAATTTTGGACACAATTTTCTTTAATATTTTACAGTAATCGGAACATGGGCTCTGATGAGTGGTGATAATTTGTGTTCCACAAAGTAGAAAAGTATTTATTTTATCAAGAACACGATTCTTAAATAGGAGGATTGTAATACAAGGCTCTGATTTCTCTTTGGATTTAGTTGGCTTTCTTGTCAGGATAAGCGGTGTAATTTTGATTCTATTCACACAGAGGTTGCAAAAGTGGATTCCACAATGGGAATTCACATGCAAATACGATGTTATAATACAGTGTAACTCAAGAGATGGTCTCTTAATCTGTTGTCTTAAATACTAACTACTAGCTTTTAAAATTCAACAGCTCACATGTTTGCTCTGTACAATATTAGTAGTTTTATAATATAAATATACTATTTTATGTATGTCATGGGAACACATTAGGGTTGCTAGGTGTCAGGTTTTTGACCACACACTCAGACAAAAAGGGACCCTCTCAGCTCCAGCCAGCACCAGATGGACTATTGAAAGTCTAGTCAGCAGCACAGTAGGGCTAAGGCAGGCGTCTGACCTGCCACCCATGTCACTCCTAGAGCCCACACCCCCAGCTAGAGCCCTCATTCCCTCCCACACTTCCGGGGTCTGAGGCAGGTCAGTGAAAATGAATGAGGGAGGGTGGAGAAGAGAAGCAATAGCGGTCAAGGGCCCCATTTCAGAAAGGTAGGGGGAAGCAGCCATGCTCTCTAGTATGTGGCTTGCTTTTCATCCTGTTCCCCGGACTATCAAGGAGGGAGGGGAAAGTACTTGCATTCCATGCATGCTTCTCATACCTGACCAGTAAGCATCCTTCCTTCCTACTTTCCCCTTTCTCCCTGATAGTCCGGGGAACAGGATGGAAAGCAAGCCACATCCTGGAGCATACGGCTGCTGCCCCACTACCTTCCCGAAACGGCGCGCACTCTTGATAGTGGGGTGTAAGGAGCGAGTGGGGGGTGAAACAGAGCCTCAGAGAAGGGGTGGGGCAAAGGTGTTCAGCTTCGTAAGAGTAGAAATTTGGCAA